TCAGAGGACGGTTAGTATAAATATTTGTATTAAAAATAAAATTTCGATGTTCTATTAGAAGTTGGATGTTCAATCAATATATGATTTATTATACTGAAGATACATAAAATTTAGAATAAGGCTTGGATATTCTAAGAATAGGTGACTTCCTGTAAACATAAAATACACATTATTTTTAGATACAAAGCATCCTCATTCCATGAAACACAACCACGTACATATACGTATATTTTCTGACTACGTGTTGAATAGTATCTACAGACTATATTTACAAATATTTATACTATTTTATTTGGTCTGAAATAGTAATACGTATTAAAATTTTTGCTGATTTTTATTACGGTAATACAAATCACACGAAATTAGGTATGGGTGTCACTCTGCAGAATCATTTCTCACGGTCGATTTTTTTATTAACGAATAATGTGAATAATGTCTAGATCTATACGATCCTACGATAAGAATGGGGCTTAAAAAGGCTATAAGAGTAATAAGTATAATGTTTCTTATTAGTAGTTTTATCCAAATTTATATGTTATAGGGGACTTGGAATTCCCAGATCGTCAAGATCGTTGACTTTTTTCACTTCGCAGAAACCTAAAGAGAGTTAATTTTACCAGAAAAATAACAAAATAGACCTAGTATTTGGAACTTATGGCCGAGTGGGGTTGCTTTTTGGAGAAAAACTGGTATTAGACTTGGGTAACGTAATTACTAATCATATATTTTTCTTTCTGACAGGTTCTCTAGATCTAATGAATGTGAAGTATAAAAATAAGTGTGTTTCCATCTATAAGATAAGTCAGCAATAGCATTATTTTTTGCTCATATATATATTTACTTGTCCACTTGCCCGTAATTTATTTTTTAAGTAATTTGCTATTTCATTTAACGGAGACTATGAAAACGAATTTTTGCTTACTTTGTTTTTTTATTTAGGTACGAAAAATAAGCAGTAACAAAAAAACCACTACCTCTAAGAACAAGAAAAATAAGACCCCCAACTATTCTAAATCAAAACGACAATACAAGCCGAGAGAATTTTTATCTTATGATGAGACCTGGGGAAAAATGTCAAAAGAAAACTTAGAGCGTGATAGAGACAATGATGATAGTGATTGGTTAAATCCTGGTTAGCGGAAGAAAATGTTAGATCAAATGTAAACCCCACCAACCTAACCCGTTAAGGGCATTTTTTATTATATAATAAATATATATTTTATTTGTATAATGTTCGACAACAATGTTTTATTAAATAAAGAGGGGTCCTATGGGCTTGCTATTTTTTTTAACTGATCGTGTGAATGGGCTCTACTTATTAACCTATGCTTTTACTGTTACTATTGGGATTGAATTTTGATATTTATTTATATAACAATAGAGATGATAAGTTTTTGTATTGACATAATCGCTACTCCCCCATTCGCCCTCTATATGATTTCTTATATTTTCTTATAGTTTTTATCACATAAAGGACAGGATACAGATCTATTAAAATCAAAATAATTACTATATTTAAAACTATGTTTCAAAGTTAAATAAGGAAATCGTTCTAATACCATTTTAATAACATGTTGTTGTCTTTCTTCTGGGTCTTTAGGTAGAACAGAAATTGGTGATCGAAGTTTGGATAGTGTAGGCTGAACATTTATCTGTAATACAAATAACATCTTTTTTTCGGCATCCTTTTCGATTTGTGGAGATTCGGGAGTTTCAGACTTTATCCAAGGATCAAGTCCAGTCTCTTCCATATATGCTCTATATAAGCTCAAACAAATTTTATCTGTCTGAGAACTTGGTAAATCAACTAAATTAGCATGCCATTTGCAATAGTCATCAGTTAATATCTGGCTGGAGGTAGTATCAGAAGACATGTTATCGTTTTATATTAATGCAAGTCAATTTAAAATTATGTAGCTATCAAGAAAAAAATATCACTATCTACTTGTCCAAGTTTATGTAATTATTTACTTATGCTGTGATCTCAATTTCATGCCCCTCACATTTAATAAAATAGGATTTAGCTTCATATCTACCTCTTATACTCTTCTCATCCTAATGACTTGACTTGCATGCTAGACATAACGACTTATCAATAAGTCTATAATAATCGAATTTTTCACTACTAAATTCTCTATATATATCAGGATACTGGCCTAATATTTTATTATGAAAATAAATATGATCGTAAGTTAGATTAGATGAAGATATAGATAATATACTTACTTGAGCTTCTGATAAAGACTTTGCTGATATTTCAGCTTTTGGTAAATTGTCCAGATAGGCAGATTCGCTTACTTCATAATTATTCTGATCGTGATATTTTGTTACAGTTTTTGATGCTACCTGATTTATGATATGTTGAATTTGAGTATCTTTCAATCCCAAAATAGTACTTGCACTATATGTAATGTAATTGATTTTATCTATGCCTACACCTCCTTTACCAAATAGTTTAAGAATTTTTCGAGCTCTTTCAGTTTTCTTACGCAAATTTACATCTGTAATATTAGGTAGAAAAGGTTTCATTTCCTTATATATTTTTGATCTTGCTGTTTTATCTTTAATTTTACCATCTGCTATAAGGCTTTTAATCTTATTTTCAAATTCTAAAGAATAATAATATCAACATAAAATTTGTTTCTAACCTGATTTAATTGCTTTATCAAATAAGTCTGATAAACTTTGTACAGAGTCTGGAATCATATCCTGTATACAAGATTTACTAATTTCTATTTTACCATTATTTGTATTAATTTCAGGAAGAACAATACTTTGTGTTTGATTAGAGGTTATCTCTTGAATTAAACCTTCTATTATTTGGTTATCAGATTCAAGCATTTCGGAGGTAGTATCAAAATTGTCAATGGTATGATTTTGATCGTGACATTTTGTCACGGTTTTTGCATTGTGTAATGATGATGTTTTTGTCTTTTCTTCTAATGATTCAGATTCGCCAAAGCATGTTCCATTAAGGTAATATATATCAGAAATTGTATTGTCTATCTGTTCTGAAGTCACTTCTTGGTGAGATGAAGAAGAGACAAAGTCCTGAGTCTCTGACTTGTCTGTAATCTGTGCATTTTCGCAATTCTTGATAGGCAATGAAATGAAATGTTTTGGAGACTTTAAATCATTAGTAACTGTTCGATTTTGCTTTTCGATATTCTTAACAAATCGGTTTAATTTTTCAATTTCAACCTTAAGCTTAGCATTTTCTGTTTGACTTAACTTTGTAATCTGTTCTAATTCTACAATTCTAACCTCAAGTTTGTCTTTTTCTTTTGCGATCTGTTCCAATTCTTTGATTTTAGCCATAAGTCTGGCATTCTCCTGTTTCAATAAATCTAGTTCGGATTTGGAGTTTTCTATTGTTTTATATAAGATACAGATATGTTCAAACGTTTGTTTATATAAATACTGCAACAAAATATTTTAATCAGAATTATAAATGCAAATAAGTGAGATTTCGTGATCAGGCTTTTCTCCTTGAGTTAGATACCCACTATTATAATTATAATACCATATTAAATATCATGCATAAAAAAACTATGACAAAATGTCACGATCATATCGATATGTATTCAGAAATATACATGCCATATATATTTTTGTATAATTACAAATAGCACGAAGGAAATATTCATGTTTTACAAACCAATATAACCTGCAAAATGAATAGATACTTTATTTATTGAATTTATTATACTGAAAAAGCATCCATAATTATGCATTTCTCCAGAAATAATAAGTCTAATCTATATACTAATCGGTATGACTTCATTTGTATACATGATTACTCTCAATATATTTCATCATATCATATACGCTAGTCAAGGTTTTTGAACAGTAAGGACAATTGTGTAGTGTATTATTTTCAGTTGGTTCAGGTGATACCGATTCTCGCTATAATTAACCCAAAAATATATAAATGATAATAGATAATATTGATTATATGTCAAAAGGTAGAAAATAACAAAAATACACCTGGAATATTGCATGTTCAATTTTCCATATTTCTAGGGTAAACCTTGGTAAAATGTCTCCACCAACAACATTCTTCTATCCGTGATTAATACGGCATTGACCCTTTTATATACATGGATCTCTTTATTTTCTGGGTCTATTAACCATCCCAGTTGCATAGATGTCCCTCTGCGAAATATATGTCCTTAAATTTTCTATCAAGTTTCTCAAACTTTGAGTAACTTGAAATGTTCCCGATTTCAACTACAAATACAGGGGTAAATGGTTCACCACGAAAACTCCAATTTTGGTTTTCATTCAATGAACGATATATTTCTTTAGGTGTATAAGCAATATCCGGTGCTCTGATCATTCTACCACACCCAACATCAAAATCAAATCTTCCCTGTGATGAGGTAACGCCCCATTTTGCTTTGTCCAAATATTCCACTCACCAAGCTGTCTAACAATCTCAGCAACAACTATCTCTCTGGAATAGAGTGATTGCAGCATAGGAATAAGCTTGCTATTCTTATCAAGATCAAAAAGGTTAACTGGTTGTCCGTCAATTTCTAGGGTGCGTGTCTTGAGCTAGTCATTTATGAATTCAAATTCTTCAAGGGTATTTGAGCGATCAAGGTTTAAATTATTGACATCTATTTTCTTATTATTGGCTTTCAACATATCTGAACTGTAGTTAGAAAAGTTTTTTTTAAAAAAAGATAGTATTAATCACAAATTTGATTATCAAACTCATCTAGACCCTTCAGAACACTGGTAATGATAAAATAACTGATATAGTTGTTGATTGCAATTAGGAGAAGGATACCAGAAATAGGAAAGAACTATAATAGTATATAAGGTTACTTTAAGTTACTTGTGCAAATAAGATAAGATTAATTTTGCTTGTTGCATACTGCAAGCCCAGCAATAATAACGATAATATGAATGATCAGAATAGTTGGAAGGCTGACGAGGATAGCTACAATACACATGAACCAATAAGCAAAACACATTTCATTTATGCAGTTATGTTATAAGAAGTGATCACGTTAGTAAGTTTACTGCGCCTTATGTAACCATGCACACTCTTATTAAAAATTTTTCTATAGATAAAAACCATGCCAAAATGTCACGATCGTAAAAATTTTCTGGCACAACCACATATTAATTATAGGAGAAAAATCTTGAAAAGATATGTAAACGTAAGCTTAATATGTATGCGCTGAAATCAGCCACCAAGGCCTACTTTGTTGATAGAAAGAAAAAAAATTTTTATTATATGTATCAATCCGTTAACCTGATTTATCATTAATTATTCGAGAATTATCGCATCCATATCACTTATATATTCCATTCGCTACTTTTTTGCATGTTTTACAATATAAATGTGAATGATGATCACATTCGTCATAAACCTTACACCCATGCTTCTATCCTCTAAAGATATGCCACTTTTCGATATAATTTTGTTTGTTTTTATTTGTAAATATATTATTCTGATTTTTTATTACTATATATTATTAACAGAAAAAAATACATTGTTAAATTTTTTTATCATGAGTCTTTCGTCACTGGTTCTGCTATACAAACCAATATGTGACACTATATACTTGTGCCCATCTTACAAATAAATTAAGCATAAGCTTTATAAGGCCAAGACCCTGCAGAAATTCTTTAGCATAAATTGCACAAATTATATGTCTACGATATTTATATATTTCGCAAGTGATTTTTGAAACAATCACTCAAATAAAACCTCATAAGAAAATATGAAATTTGATCTTTTAACAAGTATACACAAAAAATATGTATTTCTAAAATAATCAATGCCTACTATTAAAACAAATTTTTTATTAATTTTGGTGGCTTAACGTATTTTAGCTGTTCTGGTTTCACTGACTGATTGGTCAACCAAAGTCACGTGATTATGGTGCAGTAAAGACGATCTTATTCAAACTCCTCTTCTATAGCATCAATTTTGTCCCAACTTAATTTAGAAATTCTCAATGCCGAATAAGATCTTACCCGTTGTATTTTATCCTCACCTATAATAATTTCTTGATTCACACTTTCAATTCATTCTTCAGTCTTAACAATTGCACTGTATAAATCAGAAAAATTACTTGGGCTTGTAATAGATTCAGCCTGAGAAGTGGTATTACTTGTTGAAGAACTTGGCGATTTCAGCTTCTTAATAAGTTTTTTTAATATAGATACATTTCCGTCTTTAGTCTTTACTTTCTTACTAGATAATTTATTTTTACGGGTATCTTTACTAGATTTTTTACGTGATTCTTTTTCTAAAGTGATAATGCTTTGGTCTGTTGGACGATTACCTTCACCATTTTCATTATCATCTATATCTGACATATCTTCTTCTATAATTTCTGGCAAATCTTGAGATTGAATACTATGTTTTTCTATCCTTCTAACTACTGATAATGTACTTGATTCAGAGCTCCTTTTATGCCCGTTTTAATAATTTCAACCTCCTCACTACAATCAGAAAATGGACATGTATTTGGAATTGTAAGTAAAAGTTTTTTTTCAATACAAAGTTTATGAAACACATGTCTACAAGATAGTGTTGTAAATGCCTTAAGAGGATACGAATAATTTCTTTCCCACATTCTGAACAATTACTTAGATTTGGAATTTTTTTACACTTAACAATACTATCTTTTAAAGTTTTTAAAATACTATATGCAAGATTTTTGATGTTATTAATGGGAGTAGATGGTGCAGAAGGATAGAAAAACATAGTATTCAATCTCAAGATTTGCCAGAAATTATAGAAGAAGATATGTCAGATATAGATGATAATGAAAATGGTGAAGGTAATCGTCCAACAGACCAAAGCATTATCACTTTAGAAAAAGAATCACGTAAAAAATCTAGTAAAGATACCCGTAAAAATAAATTATCTAGTAAGAAAGTAAAGACTAAAGACGGAAATGTATCTATATTAAAAAAACTTATTAAGAAGCTGAAATCGCCAAGTTCTTCAACAAGTAATACCACTTCTCAGGCTGAATCTATTACAAGCCCAAGTAATTTTTCTGATTTATACAGTGCAATTGTTAAGACTGAAGAATGAATTGAAAGTGTGAATCAAGAAATTATTATAGGTGAGGATAAAATACAACGGGTAAGATCTTATTCGGCATTGAGAATTTCTAAATTAAGTTGGGACAAAATTGATGCTATAGAAGAGGAGTTTGAATAAGATCGTCTTTACTGCACCATAATCACGTGACTTTGGTTGACCAATCAGTCAGTGAAACCAGAACAGCTAAAATACGTTAAGCCACCAAAATTAATAAAAAATTTGTTTTAATAGTAGGCATTGATTATTTTAGAAATACATATTTTTTGTGTATACTTGTTAAAAGATCAAATTTCATATTTTCTTATGAGGTTTTATTTGAGTGATTGTTTCAAAAATCACTTGCGAAATATATAAATATCGTAGACATATAATTTGTGCAATTTATGCTAAAGAATTTCTGCAGGGTCTTGGCCTTATAAAGCTTATGCTTAATTTATTTGTAAGATGGGCACAAGTATATAGTGTCACATATTGGTTTGTATAGCAGAACCAGTGACGAAAGACTCATGATAAAAAAATTTAACAATGTATTTTTTTCTGTTAATAATATATAGTAATAAAAAATCAGAATAATATATTTACAAATAAAAACAAACAAAATTATATCGAAAAGTGGCATATCTTTAGAGGATAGAAGCATGGGTGTAAGGTTTATGACGAATGTGATCATCATTCACATTTATATTGTAAAACATGCAAAAAAGTAGCGAATGGAATATATAAGTGATATGGATGCGATAATTCTCGAATAATTAATGATAAATCAGGTTAACGGATTGATACATATAATAAAAATTTTTTTTCTTTCTATCAACAAAGTAGGCCTTGGTGGCTGATTTCAGCGCATACATATTAAGCTTACGTTTACATATCTTTTCAAGATTTTTCTCCTATAATTAATATGTGGTTGTGCCAGAAAATTTTTACGATCGTGACATTTTGGCATGGTTTTTATCTATAGAAAAATTTTTAATAAGAGTGTGCATGGTTACATAAGGCGCAGTAAACTTACTAACGTGATCACTTCTTATAACATAACTGCATAAATGAAATGTGTTTTGCTTATTGGTTCATGTGTATTGTAGCTATCCTCGTCAGCCTTCCAACTATTCTGATCATTCATATTATCGTTATTATTGCTGGGCTTGCAGTATGCAACAAGCAAAATTAATCTTATCTTATTTGCACAAGTAACTTAAAGTAACCTTATATACTATTATAGTTCTTTCCTATTTCTGGTATCCTTCTCCTAATTGCAATCAACAACTATATCAGTTATTTTATCATTACCAGTGTTCTGAAGGGTCTAGATGAGTTTGATAATCAAATTTGTGATTAATACTATCTTTTTTTAAAAAAAACTTTTCTAACTACAGTTCAGATATGTTGAAAGCCAATAATAAGAAAATAGATGTCAATAATTTAAACCTTGATCGCTCAAATACCCTTGAAGAATTTGAATTCATAAATGACTAGCTCAAGACACGCACCCTAGAAATTGACGGACAACCAGTTAACCTTTTTGATCTTGATAAGAATAGCAAGCTTATTCCTATGCTGCAATCACTCTATTCCAGAGAGATAGTTGTTGCTGAGATTGTTAGACAGCTTGGTGAGTGGAATATTTGGACAAAGCAAAATGGGGCGTTACCTCATCACAGGGAAGATTTGATTTTGATGTTGGGTGTGGTAGAATGATCAGAGCACCGGATATTGCTTATACACCTAAAGAAATATATCGTTCATTGAATGAAAACCAAAATTGGAGTTTTCGTGGTGAACCATTTACCCCTGTATTTGTAGTTGAAATCGGGAACATTTCAAGTTACTCAAAGTTTGAGAAACTTGATAGAAAATTTAAGGACATATATTTCGCAGAGGGACATCTATGCAACTGGGATGGTTAATAGACCCAGAAAATAAAGAGATCCATGTATATAAAAGGGTCAATGCCGTATTAATCACGGATAGAAGAATGTTGTTGGTGGAGACATTTTACCAAGGTTTACCCTAGAAATATGGAAAATTGAACATGCAATATTCCAGGTGTATTTTTGTTATTTTCTACCTTTTGACATATAATCAATATTATCTATTATCATTTATATATTTTTGGGTTAATTATAGCGAGAATCGGTATCACCTGAACCAACTGAAAATAATACACTACACAATTGTCCTTACTGTTCAAAAACCTTGACTAGCGTATATGATATGATGAAATATATTGAGAGTAATCATGTATACAAATGAAGTCATACCGATTAGTATATAGATTAGACTTATTATTTCTGGAGAAATGCATAATTATGGATGCTTTTTCAGTATAATAAATTCAATAAATAAAGTATCTATTCATTTTGCAGGTTATATTGGTTTGTAAAACATGAATATTTCCTTCGTGCTATTTGTAATTATACAAAAATATATATGGCATGTATATTTCTGAATACATATCGATATGATCGTGACATTTTGTCATAGTTTTTTTATGCATGATATTTAATATGGTATTATAATTATAATAGTGGGTATCTAACTCAAGGAGAAAAGCCTGATCACGAAATCTCACTTATTTGCATTTATAATTCTGATTAAAATATTTTGTTGCAGTATTTATATAAACAAACGTTTGAACATATCTGTATCTTATATAAAACAATAGAAAACTCCAAATCCGAACTAGATTTATTGAAACAGGAGAATGCCAGACTTATGGCTAAAATCAAAGAATTGGAACAGATCGCAAAAGAAAAAGACAAACTTGAGGTTAGAATTGTAGAATTAGAACAGATTACAAAGTTAAGTCAAACAGAAAATGCTAAGCTTAAGGTTGAAATTGAAAAATTAAACCGATTTGTTAAGAATATCGAAAAGCAAAATCGAACAGTTACTAATGATTTAAAGTCTCCAAAACATTTCATTTCATTGCCTATCAAGAATTGCGAAAATGCACAGATTACAGACAAGTCAGAGACTCAGGACTTTGTCTCTTCTTCATCTCACCAAGAAGTGACTTCAGAACAGATAGACAATACAATTTCTGATATATATTACCTTAATGGAACATGCTTTGGCGAATCTGAATCATTAGAAGAAAAGACAAAAACATCATCATTACACAATGCAAAAACCGTGACAAAATGTCACGATCAAAATCATACCATTGACAATTTTGATACTACCTCCGAAATGCTTGAATCTGATAACCAAATAATAGAAGGTTTAATTCAAGAGATAACCTCTAATCAAACACAAAGTATTGTTCTTCCTGAAATTAATACAAATAATGGTAAAATAGAAATTAGTAAATCTTGTATACAGGATATGATTCCAGACTCTGTACAAAGTTTATCAGACTTATTTGATAAAGCAATTAAATCAGGTTAGAAACAAATTTTATGTTGATATTATTATTCTTTAGAATTTGAAAATAAGATTAAAAGCCTTATAGCAGATGGTAAAATTAAAGATAAAACAGCAAGATCAAAAATATATAAGGAAATGAAACCTTTTCTACCTAATATTACAGATGTAAATTTGCGTAAGAAAACTGAAAGAGCTCGAAAAATTCTTAAACTATTTGGTAAAGGAGGTGTAGGCATAGATAAAATCAATTACATTACATATAGTGCAAGTACTATTTTGGGATTGAAAGATACTCAAATTCAACATATCATAAATCAGGTAGCATCAAAAACTGTAACAAAATATCACGATCAGAATAATTATGAAGTAAGCGAATCTGCCTATCTGGACAATTTACCAAAAGCTGAAATATCAGCAAAGTCTTTATCAGAAGCTCAAGTAAGTATATTATCTATATCTTCATCTAATCTAACTTACGATCATATTTATTTTCATAATAAAATATTAGGCCAGTATCCTGATATATATAGAGAATTTAGTAGTGAAAAATTCGATTATTATAGACTTATTGATAAGTCGTTATGTCTAGCATGCAAGTCAAGTCATTAGGATGAGAAGAGTATAAGAGGTAGATATGAAGCTAAATCCTATTTTATTAAATGTGAGGGGCATGAAATTGAGATCACAGCATAAGTAAATAATTACATAAACTTGGACAAGTAGATAGTGATATTTTTTTCTTGATAGCTACATAATTTTAAATTGACTTGCATTAATATAAAACGATAACATGTCTTCTGATACTACCTCCAGCCAGATATTAACTGATGACTATTGCAAATGGCATGCTAATTTAGTTGATTTACCAAGTTCTCAGACAGATAAAATTTGTTTGAGCTTATATAGAGCATATATGGAAGAGACTGGACTTGATCCTTGGATAAAGTCTGAAACTCCCGAATCTCCACAAATCGAAAAGGATGCCGAAAAAAAGATGTTATTTGTATTACAGATAAATGTTCAGCCTACACTATCCAAACTTCGATCACCAATTTCTGTTCTACCTAAAGACCCAGAAGAAAGACAACAACATGTTATTAAAATGGTATTAGAACGATTTCCTTATTTAACTTTGAAACATAGTTTTAAATATAGTAATTATTTTGATTTTAATAGATCTGTATCCTGTCCTTTATGTGATAAAAACTATAAGAAAATATAAGAAATCATATAGAGGGCGAATGGGGGAGTAGCGATTATGTCAATACAAAAACTTATCATCT